ACATTGTTAAAATGTCTATACTGCCCAGAGCAATCAATACTTTCAAAGCCAGCCCAATCAAAATTCGACCAGCATTTTTCAGAGTGTTGGAACAAACAATCCTAAAGTTTGTATGGAACCAGAAAAGACCCAGAATTGCTAAGGGAATTTTGAAAAAAAAAAAAAAAAAAAACTGGGGGCATCACATTGCCTGATTTCAAACTTTACTACAAAGCTGTGATCACCAAGAAAACATGGTACTGGCACAAAAAGAGACAAATAGACCAATGGAACAGAGTAGAGAGTCCAGATATGCACCTGCCACTCTATGGTCAAATAATCTTCTCCATGTTCTTCTAATGGAATCTGACATCAACAAAATAATCACCATGGCTTTACATTTTTATTAAAGACATTGTGTAAAATTACATTAAATTCTTTGAATTTCAGCCAAAATAAATCACCAACAGTGTTTTATTTTCCCTGTTTTAATTTATTTATTACCATTTCTCTTAAGTCCTAATATTCTGCCTATGTTCAGATATAAGAGTAATGTAACATATTGCTTTATTAATCATTTTCCTAAGTAGCTAGTTCATCAGCTTTTCAGACCTTATCCTTGAGTTTCTTTTTTTTAATCCTTGAGTTTATTATTTAATGTATATTCTGATGTCAGTCACCTCTATAAACTAGTGCTATGTCTGTGAAAAAAACATGTATGTGAGAGTAGACATTTTTATTTTACAGAAATTTATTATGTTCCAACATAGTATCAGATGACTATTTTTGAAATTGTTTTGTATAGCTTAGCCAGTCTTTAAAGAAAATGGAGCAAATATACTATTAAATATCTTGGATATATTCAATAAAGAACTATTTCATAGCAGCCATTGGGTCCTTAAAACACCTTCCAACATATAACTTTGTCAATGCTAAAGAATGCTTAGATTATGAGTTAGTCTTCACCATGGAAACACAAAGTTTAGATAGTAGTATAAATTAAAGTTTTATCAATGAGTCTTCTTTCATTGTTGAGCAAGCACAGTATGACATTGATCACCAAGTTAAAGAGGTAAACAAAAATCCCAAATCATCCCTGGATATTGGGAAACATTAGTATAACCTCATTCAACAAAGAAATATTGAAAGATCAGTTAAAGCAAAAGTGCATTTGTATTATTTTTTTCTTATCACAAGTTTTGTGAGTTTTTTTTTTCTTTTCCTTTCTTACAGCCTAGGAAAATTAACTGATGAATGGCCTTTGATAATACCTAGGTAGTGTTCAATTCTTCATTTTAGAAACTCCAAGGAAGTAATTTACCTTCAAGCACATAGAGTTAGTTAGGGCCAGTCAGGATTAAAAATCCCATTTTAAATTCATAGAGGAAAGATTTCTCACTATTCCACATTGTGTAGAAGAAAAGATCAACAAGCAGTTCAACATTATCAGTAATGATCTTTGTAAGGAACCCCTAATGAGCCAGATGGTTTAGATATACAGATAACAATAAGCTACTAAAAGATACTGTCAAAAGACAGGAATAACGTTTGAGAGGAGGGCAATGCATATACTCAATTTATCTGCAAGCAATGAGGATCACTTAGGTTAAGAATTGTAGCAGAGCAGTATGAATGTTTGCCCTTAAAAATAGGCTGATTCAACTGATGAATAACTGAACTCTACCTCTGAAACTAATGATATACTATATGTTAATTAATTGAATTTAAATTATTTTAAAAAGAAATAAGCTTGTTTTCTCCAAATATAGGCATTGGCTAAAATTTAGCCTACAGTTCAGAGCTGATAACAATGTCAAACCTTGGAAACATACTTTAGACAATGAACTGGATCCTTTATGCTCATCTGATAGTTCTTTATATGTAACTTGAGAAACATTAAAAAACTAGTGTCATTAAGTGATAAATGAATATTTGATTAACTTAACTGGAGGTCTAAAAAGAACCTATTTGGACTCATTATAACAAAAGATGGTGATATTTTACTGAAATGTTACTTTTATTATAAACATATACATATGGGGGCTCCTGGGTGACAGTGGGTTAAAGCCTCTGCCTTTGGCTTGGGTCATGATCCTAGGGTCCTGGGATCGAGCCCAGTGTCAGGCTCTCTGCTCAGTGGGGAGCCTGCTTCCCCCTCTCTCTGCCTGCTTCTCTGCCTACTTGTGATCTCTCTCTCTGTCAAATAAATAAATAAAATCTTTAAAAAAAATAAAAACATAAACAAACACAAAAACCCAAAACACATACATATGATGGCAAGTGTGGAGTAAGAAGATGACAAAAATCTAAGCTTAAAGTAATGATGTATATGAAAAAAGCATTTGGTAAAGTATCAGAAAACTGAATTTTGTCATTAATTAATTAGTTCCTTATTTGTTTAGTTTCTTTAACTATGAACAATTTTTTTTATCACCGTCTCTCAGTGCTCTTCCATCAAGAAACTCTGATTCTTGAAATTTTTATAGTAATGTAATAGTCACATCATAACAAATATCATGAGTATAAGAAGATTTGATAGAGATAACTAAAAACTAAGAATGCCACTAATAATCTGTATCAATATCTAATAGTTACTGGGTAAAACATATTGATCAAATATAAAAAGAAAATGTCACAGTTAAAAGAAAATATCATGTGTAAATACATGTAATGATTTTAGATCCTATGTCTTGTTGCATTTAAATAATGCCCTCAGATAACTTTCTCAAAAAAAATAGAAGCTAAAAAACTACAATAGGAATGTATCCAGTTTATAATGTTGAAAGAAATAGAACTATCAGATTTAGAGATGTATCTGCAAAAGATAATGAATTCTCCATCAAAATGGCAATAGACATTTCCTCACCTCTTTTTTTTTTTTTTGTATGCGCAAAAATATAGAAGGAATAGGGAATTGTTTATGGTAGAAAGAGCTCAGAAAAATTCCTAGGATTTGTATGGGTTTCTGGAGAAGGAAATATTAGCAAGAGGCACCCTTTGGCTCGGTTTTTGTTTTTACCTCTGTAGCTGACATCAGAGATAGAGTCATCCATTCTGATGTCCTTCTAGTTGCTTTCTTTTACTGTAGAAACCTGAGCAATTATAGACAGAATAATAGAAGTTACTGGTTTTTCTTCCCTGAGAAGGTTGCTGAACGGGCAGTTTTATTATCTGGGAGTTGCTGCTGGTTCTTTGCAAACTTGCTTTACAGATGGATACACTTGGTGCCACAGGGATGTTATGGATATTGATCCTGGTAGTTTTAAACTCTAGTGTATGATAGAGATTCACTGTGTCTGAACCAACTGGTAAGAGCAGAACAGACTTTCATGTATTAAGGCTGAATTCCTTATTACTATCCTGTTCTTCAGTGAATAGACATCATAAAGCAAAAAAAAAAAAAAAAAAAGTCTTGTGTGTGTGCGTGTGTGTGTTTATCTTCTGGAGCATGGATACAGAGTAAGGGACTCTTATAAAGAAAGTAAAGGAAAATAATGCCAAAATAAGCTAAAACTGTTTATCTAAAATAGCAATGTCTGGTTAAGTATCATTGGTAAGATTGAAAAACAGGGTTAAAGTACAAGATTAGTATCAGCAAAACCTCACATATGTTTATTTCAACTTATAAAAGTGTTTTTGAATGCTTATAGTTCCAATCTTAATATAATTTACATGATTTTGTATTTATTATTTATTAGTACAAAAGTAGTGACATAAGCCTACATCATTTATCATCTCTAATTTCTTACCAACTTCTATGATATTGAAAGACATTGGCCCTAGGGGAAAAACATGCCATTTGAAAACTTTTTCACAAAGAAAATGCAAATGTATGGATTTATCCCCATTTTTTTTTGCTGTGTTTTGTTCATATAATTTCTTATAAAATATAAAATCAGGCAATTTACAAAATGTAATTGTATGAATTCTTAACCTCAGATATAGAGAAAACATATGGATTAATGTTCTGAAGGACATGGAAAAAAGAATAGGAGAAGTGAATAAAAGTTTGGCAGATGGAGTTTTAGTAAGTCACTAGAGGTTGGAAACCATGAAAATGTAGAAGCTATTGGTACAATGCTATGAATTTCTCCGGAAGCCTTTAGCAGTCCAGAAGTAAAAGGAGAAAGCAGATGGTGGCATTTAAATAGATTCAGAATCAAGGTAGGAAAGACAAAAAGACAAAAAGAATTAAAAAAGATGGGCACTTACTCTAGCAAGACTAAAACAAAGATTTTCTCTAACCACATTCCTTCCAAGGAGAAAGACTTACTACAAAAGTCTACTTCTGCCCTGATATTTGGCAAACCCAAATACAATGCCAGTCTCGATGAACAAAACTTGGCCAGAGAGAACTTTAAAAGTCATCAATTTGCTGTGTTTGAATTTTTGTGAATGTGAGACCAGTTCTGTGATAACCTTGCAGATTTTGGTAACTTTTTGGATTTTCTTTTTCTTAAAGAAGACATGAAAGAACCAATAAACTAGTTCAACTTTCACTTTCTTGAAGGCATCACATCCATTCCAGAAAAGGACAGTCCAGACTGCAGGTGGGGCAGCAATTTCATTTCCCTGGGGGATATGTACGAGGGGCCTAGGGCAGAGACCAAGCTGAATTAGAACTGCAGAGAATGAAGACTGATGCTGGGTTTTAGTTAAATAGGACACATTTTGTGATTTTTGGCTTTGGTTCCTTTAGGTTCTAAATGAAATATTAAAAACTTCTTTAATTAAAAAAAATGAATAGAAAGTTCATATTCTAATATAAATATATTACTAAAATTTAATATATATATATATGTTTGTGTGTGCATATGTGTGTGTGTATGTGTGTATGTGTGTGTATATATGTGTATATATATATATATATACATATGTGTGTGTGTGTGTGTATATATATATATATATATATATATATATATACTCTTTAAGGGTTGTTTTTAACCCTTATGAATCTAAATTGACCCTTTATTGGGAATGCTGATTTTTGCTCATGTGCTTTTTTTTTTTTTTTCCTATTTCAGGGGAAAGTACAAGCATACTCCCCCACTACCACAAGTCATGAAGTTGAGTTTCCCACATTTGGAGAAATCGCAGGGGTCAACACATCTAGAGTGCAATGGATAAGCCTCACCCTGGGAAAACCACTTTCATAATCATGGTATCTACCCTGCCAGGTAAGTATTGCTTATGTGCTTTTTAACGTCACAGCAGGAGCAGTTTTACCTGAGGAGTTTATGTATGGATTCTGTTCAGCCCTAGAGGAACTTGCCTCTGAAGAGTGGTTTGCATTTGCTTTTCTGAGTATACTAGGAGTATCACTATTCAGGGGCTCATTTTTATGATAGCTTCTCAACTTGGGCATTCTGTACCCTTGAGGAGGGCATAAATTCCAACTTCAAAACTATGCGTAATATAGCTCATGGTTACCAATTATATAAGGAGATTTTTTTTTCAACCTAGAAACCAAGAGGTGATTGAAAAGACTTTGCTGTCTTCCTTTGCATATATATAAGTTCTTTGTTTTGCCTTGTTCACCCTTTTACTAATTATGGAGTCTGTCAAGGCTTCCTGCTATATATGAAGGTCTAACTTCAACTCTTATCTCACATGGGCTCAGGTCTCACGTTCTTCCCTGATGTAGGTGGTATCTCACAGATGTTTGGTTTCTAGTGTAGTCCTCTGTCCCATGTCAGACTCGCCAGCAAATCCCCTCAACTATGTACTAACTGAACTGGTTTTTGTTCTTCTGTGTTCCTGTGACCAAAGGTTTAAGCTAATTTCATTTATTTGAAGCTATGATCTTAAGAAAATGTTAGAATTGTATGTGTCATTTCTAGATATTTGCAATAGAAAGAACTTCTGATTGCATATTAACAGGTTGCTGGAATCAGAAGATTTTATTGGGGTATTACTCAATATTTAAACTTCTTTTTACTTGTTTTCTCCTACGTTAATTATAGTTGACCTTTGAACAACATTGGGGATGTTGGGAATGCCATCCCCGGTGCAGTGAAAAACCCACATATAACTTTTGACTCACCCTAGACTTAAACACTAATAGCGTATATTGACCAGAAGCCTTACAGATAACATAAAATCAGTTAACACATATTTTTTATACTTTACATGTATTATATATTTATTATAAATGTATGATATATTTACATTATATATTATATATTCTTACAATAAAGTAAGCTAGTGAAAAGAATGTGTTTATTAAGAAAATCGCGGGGAAGAGAAGATACATTTACAGTACTGTATTGTAAAATTGCGAATATGGAGCTCCGTGGCAAGGGAGGGGCCAAGCAGGCACAAAGCCACGCTGGCAGAGGGAACCCTGGACCTCCAACAACAGCCATGCAGGGCCCTACATGGTCCAGCGCCAGGCTAGGTGGGAGGCTGGATGGGAGCCCGGTGCCCAGCAAAGTGAAGGCTGAGGGAGTCCTCACTGCAGCTGGGAGTCAGGACCCAGACCCGGGCAGCGGTTGGTGGAGTTGGCACTGTTTCTTCGGCTGCCACGTTGTTGCTGACCAAGTGAACCCCGCTTCCCCTGTGGCCAAGCTGGACCTGGGTGACCAGCAGGAACACTGGGAGACATTGCAGAAGGGGCAGAGGCTCACCTTTGAGAGTAAGCCAAGCTGCTGCTAGACGATCGGCTTGCAATACCCTGCCGAGGCTGCTGCGGTGGGGCAGTGTGGTTTGAAGTTTGAGTCTTGGAAGACTTGCACATCTTAGTCTGTAGCTGCAGCGTTTGGTAGAGGCAGAGACACTTCATTGTCCTGCTTCTCACTTCAAGCTCCTGGGTGGAGCCAGAGCATCACCGCACACACAGTCAACATGCACAAAGTCAGCAAGCTTCCGCAAGACAGGTGGCTTTCAGAGCTTTTACACTCTCTGCTTGAACCCTGGACACTTTGAATTGCTCCTCACCACCTGGATGAGGGCACCACCTGGAGTGTGTTCATTGCGGGATTCAGGGGCAGAGACTGGGGGAAGGCCCTGGAGGAGCACGAGGCTATTAAGAATGTGTCTTCAGAGTGTGTTCCGGTTTTCCCCTTCCTAAAAAGGAGAAATCATTGGGGTCAGCAGCTTTGTTGTCCCCGCTGCACCTCAGTGGTGCTCATGAATGTGGCTGATCCACGCTGCTGGTTCTGCTGGCCAGAGACCATCTCAGCTTTGCAGCTTGCTCCGGCTACCAGGGAATTTTTGGCACTACTTTGTCCTTCCTCAGTCCAGATTTTGATGTAGGTTAGTTGACATCCTTCTTTCTCTTCCCAACTTTTATATGGATGTTTTATAAAAGTAAATATTTTAAAAATTAAAGCCAATCCCTCCCCCCCAAAAAACAGAAAAAACTGCATATAAGTGGACCCACACAGTGAAAAATGTTAGGATTTATTGCATGCCTACCAGGTTCTAGGCAACAAGGATATGACAATATACCAAATAGTCTTTTGTCTTCATTCAGTTTACATTCTACTAGAGACTTCATGAAACAATCAAATTAAAAATAAATATATAAAAGCGTGCCTTGGAGATATTGTGTAGTGTGAAAGTGGCTGTAGACATGTAAATAAATAAGCTTGGCAATGATCCAACAAATGTTTGTTTATAAAAACAGGTGATGGATCATATTTAGCCCATAGGTTTGTAGGTTTAGACTGATCATACTCTGTTGTCTGAGGCAGGGAAAATTGTTTTTTCCAAAAGGAAGAAACAAAAAAAATGAAGAAAGGAAAAAAGGAAGAAAGGAAAGAAGGAAGGAACCTTTGCTGTCAAGGCAGAACAGAGTATTGTAGGTGGAGGGATGAACATAAGTATTAACTTTTAAGTTCATTTACTTTTAGTCTTGGTTCATTTATGGCAAAGGATTAAAGTCTACACATCATTTTAGTTTCCCCTTTGTGATTAAACATTTTTGTATGAAATTCTCTCTCTCTTCAAAGCTTTCCACATGATTTAAATCTTCTATTTTTACTTATTAATATTTTGGGCATAGTTATTTAGGAATGGACTTTTTTTTTTAAGATTTTATTCATTTGGGAGAGAGAGAGAGAGAAAATGAGAGAGTATAAGAGGGGAGAGGATCAGAGGGAGAAGCAGACTCCCCACTGCACAGGGAGCCCAATGTAGGACTCGATCCTGGGACTCCAGGATCATGACCTAACTGAAGGCAGCTGCTTAACCAACTGAGCCACCAGGTTCCCCTCCAGTTTTGTTTTTTTTTTTTTTTTTTTTTTTTTAGATTTTATTTACTTGACAGACACAATGAGAGAGAGGGAATACAAGCGGGGGGAGTGGGAGAGAGAGAAGCAGGCTTCCAGCCGAACAGGAAACCCGATGTGGGGCTCTATTCCAACCTGAGCCGAAGGCAGACACTTAATGACTGAGCCAGCCAAGCACCCCAGGAATGGATTTTTTTGTTTCCAAATAGTAAAGTTCTTTGTTCTGTGTCTTAATATTTATTTTTTAAATTTTAATTTATATTTTAATCCAGTATAATTAACATACAGTGTTACATATATTGCTCAGTGCTCATGAAGATGAGTGTACACTTAATGCCCTTCACCTCTCTCATGCATTCCCTACCCACCTCTTTGATAGCCATCTACCTGTTCTCTATACTTAAGAGTTGGTTTTTGGTTTATTCCTCCCTCCTTTGTTTTGTTCCATAAAATTCCACACAGGAGTGAAATCCTATAGTATTTTTATTTCTCCGACTGACTTATTCCATTTAATGTTATGCTCTTTAGCTCCATCCATGTTGCAAATAGCAAGATTTCATTATTTTTTGACTGAATAATATTCCACCATATATATCTGCATATATATACATGTATATATATGCATATGTATATCTGTATGTGTGTGTATGTGTGTGTGTGTGTGTGTGTACACATACATCATCTTTGTCCACTCATTTATCGATGGATACTTTGGCTGCTTCCCTATTTTGGCTATTACCAATAATACTGCAATAAACATAGGAGTACATATATCCTTTTGATTAAGTGTTGTGGTATTCTTTGGGAAAATTCCTATTAGTGGGATTACTGGACCAGAGGGTAGTTCTATTTTTTATTTTTTGAGGAACTCCATACTGTTTTCCACAGTGACTTGACCAGTTTACATTCCCACTAACAATGCAGGAGGGTTAATTCTTCTCCACATCATAGCCAATGTTTGTGGTTTATTGTTTTTGATTTTAGCCATTTTGACAGGTATGATGTGATGTCTCACTGTAACTGTGGTTTGCCTTTCCCTGATGATGAGCGATACTGAGCATCTTTTCATGCGTCTGTTGCCCATTTGTATGTTTTCTTTGGAGAAATGTTGGTGTATGTCTTCTGCTTACTTTTTAATTGGATTATTGTGTGTGTGTGTATGTGTTCATGTTGAGTTTCTAAGTCCTTTATACATTTTTCATACCAACCCTTTATTGGATATGTCATTCGCAAATATCTTCTCTCATCCAGTAGGTTCTCTTTTAGTTTGGTTGATTGTTTCCTTTGCTGTGCAAAAGATTTTATTTTGATATAGTCCCAACAGTTTGTTTTGACTTGTGTTTCCCTTGCCTTGAGAGACATATCTAGAAAAATGTTATTGTCAATGTTAGAGAACTCACAGTTTGTGCTCTCTTCTAAGATTTACATGTTTCAGGTCTCACATTTAGGTATTCTATCCATTTTGAGTTTATTTTTGTGTATGTTGTAAGAAAGTAATCCAGTTTCATTCTTTTACATGTAACCGCCCAGTTTCCCAACACCATTTGTTGAAGAGACAGTCTTTTTCCTATTGTGTATGTTTGCCTTCTTTGTTGAAGATTAATTGACTGTATAATCATAAGTTTGGGTGCTGTGTCTATTTTTCTGCCAGTACTGTACCATACTTGATTACTACAGCTTCGTAATAGAACTTGAAATCTGGAATTGTGATATCTCCAACTTCGTTTTTCTTTTTCAAGATTGTTTCAGCTATTCAGTGTCTTTTTTGATTCCATACAAGTTTTAGGATTGTTTTTTATAGTTCTGTGAATTTTGATAATTTGATAGAGATTGCATTAAATCAATAGACAGCTTGGGTAGTATGGACATTTTAACAATATTTGTTCTTCCAATCTATGAGTATGGAATGTCTTTTCATTTCTTTGTGTCATCTTCAGTGTCTTTCATCAGTGTT